TTCCCATCACTCTTTAAATCTGGACTTCAGCATCCTTGGCCTTGACCCTGATCCTGCCTGCCTCTTGCCCTTTGGGCTGGGGATCCACAGCAGGCTCTTGTCTCCTGGAGCTGGCTCATCCTGAACTGTCAGTGCCTTGTTCCTGGTCCTAACTGCAGGACATGCCTGCTCACAGTCTGATTGAGATCCTCACACACCATGCCTTCTTCTTGCTATTGCTTTATCCTAGTCTCACTTCAGTTTTATGAGAGGAACTGATAAAGAAACACATCTGTTTCCTGCTCACTTCCAATTACCATGGGGCACTCTGCTCCCTTCCAGCGTGCTCAGCTTCTCTCTCTCTGCAGCTGCCTGGGGTGGGAGGAAGCAGAGCTGCACCAGGTCATGTCACAGGGAAGAGCAATCACTTACTTCCCTGCTACATCATCTTTTGGAGATACACCATGCCTCAAAACCATCAGGTTCCACATGATATCCAGCTGGCACAAACTGTTCCCCTAAGGGGTAATTTGTGCTCAGGTAGGCCCAGGAGATGACTGGAGAAATAAAACAACAGCTATAGAATGGTCTGAAAACAGCTGCTCGAAGAAGTAGAGAGGAGGCAGAGTTTAGCATCAGCCTAGTTACCACAAAAAGGTGCCAAATAATGGTAGCTGCATTTCTCAGCTTCTCACCTGATGATATAAATCACATTAATTTCTCTGATGATTATCAAAATGGAGCTAGAAACTTCTTAAATTTAGATGTAACTCTACCTCATGCCTTTGGGAAAGGAGAGGCAAAGGGCTCTGATTTTAAGCAATAAAGCAGCACATTGTATTTTTCTCACTCTGTCCCTCCATATGCCACCACCCTCCCTTGATGAATGATGAATGAGTATTTAGAGCACAGGAATTTGAATAGGAGAACAGCATCTCCAGGAGCACAACTGGATGTCACAGCAGACACTGGGCACTCTGGCCAAATATCAAGCACGGTGCTAAACCAATCCAGAAGAATTACCATGGTGAGAAAAACACTCCTCCTTGTACAATCTGCAGTGAGGAGGGCTTGGTAGCACCAAGAGACCCGCTCCTCTATGGCCACCTGCACTTGTGCAGAGTGGGTGTGACGTGTGGACAGATGGTCAGCTGTGACTGTAGCATTTGACACCCTCCTTTGTGCAGATGTAAATGCCTTCACCAGGCATGAAGCTCTGTGATGGTGCCCAGAGCAGGCAGTGGGTATTTACAGTTTAATTGTGCTTATTTTACACTGGAACTGCTCCAGGGATTTGCTCCTGAATCACTGGCATGGGAGTGTGAGGGCAGGATCTGGGCTGGACATCACTCTGGTGTCTCACCCCAGCTCAGTGAAGGATGCAGTGCTCTCATGGGCAGTGGAATGTGTACACCATGCTCTTACAGTAGATATAAATGAGGGAGAATCAGAGCTGTGAAATAGGCACAATGCAAAGTATACATCGTGGTTATATGGATGCAAGCAAGAGGAAAATGGGAAACGTTAGGCCAGGAGAATGCCATGTGTGCCCTAACTCCAAGCAGGATATAAAAACTGTTTTCCTATTGCCCATAGGAATGTTCAGCAGTCTTCTACAGGACCTTCTTAACAGTACTGGGGATTAACACCTAGTGCTTTCAACCCAGTTACCACACTGCAAAGTTTTATATGCATTTGGTGCAGGAAAAAACAGCAGCAAAGTCTAGGGAAAAAGGAAAGTGGCTATGTCCTGATGTTCCTTTATATCAACTTTGCTTGCAATTCTTTTTCCAAATGATTTTCTATTATAATCACAACTGTGTTTTGGTTTTTTTTCTCCTCATTAGACTCTGGGATTATTCAATGGACAACTTGATTTTGATCCACTAGGGATTTGATCTTCCAATGTGTAATACTAAGACAATGTTTTCTGGAGGATTTTTGCCTTATTCAGAAACTGAAAGGTATGTTCATCTTTGAGTACTCCAGTAAAATGAGATATGTTTTCTTCATCCTAAAACCAGAACCCAATTGGGTAAACAGGAAAAAGAGGGAGAGTCACCTCATAATGAACAGGAGTTAAGGGGAGTTATTTGAATGTAAAAAGCTGCACCAAATGCAGACTATCAACTCCAATTTCCTGATAGATCTGGAAATTAATTTCCTTGATCTTTGGTTCAGTTGGGTTTCCCATACATATTTAATACCTACTTCCTAGAATTCTATAAATAGCTTTCTAGACTTTGTGGGTTTTCCTACTACTTCTTGCTTCATGCATACTATTATTTTGCTTCTGTATTTTCTGAAGCATTTTAGGAAATATGTATGAGAGCCTAGGGGACACGGGGATGACTGATTAAGAAGAGGCAGAAGGAGGGTGTAAAACACACCAAGACCCAAGATAGCTTTTGAGGCATTACTGACAAGCAGGATATTGAGAAGATTTTATGAATTGCATCAAAAAGCAATAGGAGGAGGAACTGCATATTTATTTGAACAAAGAGGAGGAAGAAGTGAGCTGCCTATGGAGTGCCTGGTCTTCCTGGACATTGAGACAGTGACTGCAGGAGACCTGAGGTGCAACCTTTTCTTTCCTCAGGGATGGCAGCAGTGCTATCTGAGACTCTGCCCTCTGGGCCTTTGGCTATTAATAACTGCAGGATGCCTGTGCGAGCAGCCTTCAGGAGTCAAATTCACTGCACTTTGCATCAGCATTTTGTGCTGGGCAGAGCTTCCCTGCACCCAGGCACCCTGGGAGAGGGGGCTGCTGGACAAGCCTCCCCAGGCAGCACCCAGAGACAGGCTGGGAGGAAGCAGCCACTGCTGAGCTCTGGGGCAGGTGTGTGAGCTGGTCTGAGCCTGGCACTGCAAGCCTGAGGTGAGTTGACTGGACAGCAAAATAGTGCAGGTGGTGGAGAAGTAAAGACTGGTTTGGCTTCCAGCACCAATGACTGCTGCAAAGATCAATGCACAAAAAGACAGAGGAATTGAACAAGAAGACAGAGCTGAGGGAGAAAAGCCCTGGCTTTATGTATGACATAGTGAGGAGAATGGGGTTTGAGGCTCCAGCAGCTTCTGGGAGGGCTGAGAGAGCAGTAGTACTGTGTAACTCTGGACCCTGTCCATAGTGAGACACTGCTGTCTCTTTCCTTCTGCTAGACCAACTGCATGCAGTGGGTTTTTCAATCTTCAGTCCTGCTGGATTAGTAAAGAAGGACAGCAGAATGTGATAGACTTGTCCTCACTGCTGCTTGGGAATTAGTGTGAGGAGCACAGCTTTCCACCGCGGCTGTCCCTTTCTGCCTTGCCCCAGGAAATCCATGCTTGTGGCATACAGATGATTTCTCTGTTTTGTGAATTTTAGGACCCATCAGATGGGCCATAACCTCTCACCTCTGCTATTTCCTGGCAGCATTGCCCTTTTCCTGTCAAGCAGGGCCTGCTTCTTTTATACAGCCAAGCAGATGTCTGGCTGCTTAAAGAGAATGTGCAGTGTGTGCGTCATGGCTGCACCTGCTCACACTTGCTTTGGGAGTACCCCAGGATGGGCTCATAAATGATGTGAACTACACAGGCAGCATCTCAGTAAAAGGAAAAACTTGCAAATTTGAAAGAAAAAATAATCCAAGGGAGTATCTGCCAATGTGATTGGCACTGTTTTGCTGTGGCTGGGCTTCTTTTAACAGTTATCACAATTCCATCACGTAAAATTATGTTGCAAAAGAAGTAATGGTGGAATGATACTTCAGAATACACAGGAGATAAAAACGTCTTGATCAGAAGAGTAGTATACAAACTTCCAGTTACAGCTGTTTGCTTGCTAGTTTTAAAATAGAACTCATAGTTCAAAGTTTTTCAGTTCTGAAATCTTAAGCAAGTAAAGTACAAAGAATCACAAGACAGAGATGGTAGTTATTGCTGCAGATGAAGCCAATGTATCTTTGCCCATTTTTCTTTGTATTGTTGCCCATGTTTCTTTGTATTGCATTATATTAGGTGGGGATCTGTCCCCTATATGCTGTTGTTTGGGCATGGACAGTGCTGAAGCAAAGGCAAGACATTTACTCTACTTACATTATGTGTAATAACCCCTGAGAAGGACTCTCAAAAGCTGCCTGAAATGGAATTGCTGATTTTCCCTGCTTTTGCAATTCACATCTCATCCTATCTGGGGATAGAGATGGGGAACACTGTATCAGAAGAAATCTCCCTCTTCTCCTCTTCCTCCCTTCAAAATGGTATCAGATAAGATCAATACATAAGATACAGATGCAAGTGACTTCAAACAAATTGGGTGAACAACTTTAACAAGTTTTCCTGTGCCTTCCTCCTCCAGCCCTTCTGTAACAAAACAGTAGCAGTCATAAAAGACAGAACTACTTGGAATTTTGTTTTGTTTTGTTTTGTTTTGTTTTTTCCCTTCCAGACTTGCAGTCTGGTAACTTTCTGAGTACCTACTCTAATTCTAAAAGACTGTTGAAATATCCAAACCAGAACTGCACATGATGCAAAGTGCTCCAAATAACTTGTGGACAGACCTGAAACCTTTATCCAAAAATATATATTACCATCTAATGATAACTGCATGTTGTTATAACATTGCATCATAGAGCAAATTTTCCAAGTGACATCCTGTTACTGCAGCACAAGATAATAACAGAGTATTCTTATAGCTCATGTGGATTCTGAGAGACTGCCTTGTTGCAATTAAATTGCCTCTTTTGGATGAGTGCTATAGGGCACCTTGGCAATGCTTCTGCTGGGATCTGCTACCATATTTTGTCAGAATGCTGAGTCTCCAGAGAACCCCAGAATGGCCTGCTGATGATTTCCTGTATGGGATGACACCTTCCACTAGCTCCATTATGGGGAAGGGATAGAAAAAAACCAGTGTGGGAAAGGAAGGCTGTGTATCTTTTACCTGTAGATGGCAACTAAAAGAGAGGCAAGAAATACATTTCCAGTGTTTCATTCTCCATTTCCTTGTGTGTTTAGAGCAAAGCAGAGAACCCTTTGTGGGAATGCCCCTTGCAGGGACTCCTGCTCCTCTTAAAAGGAAAAAGTCCACTAAACTCATTGGGAAGCTGACACATGAAGGTAAGATATGCAAAACTGCACATGTAAAAATTGTTTGGATTTCAACCTGAATTTCGGCCTTTAAAATCTCACATCTTGCCTAACTGAACTCTCAAAGCAAGAGATCCATTGAACATACCAGGAGGCACAGCCACAAATTTTACTGAAGCCCAGACTTCAACCACGTCACATTTTCTATCTTACAGCTGAAAAGCATTGCACACACTCAGGCCAAAAGTCAACCAAGACTGCACTCTGCAAACTTGTATTCTCCTGCAGCATTAATTTGGATGCAGATCAGTGTAAATGGACAGAAAACATGATATTTTCCAGGGGTCAATATTGCAGTGCCTAGATTTATTCTACATCATTCTCTCTCTTACAACCTTTGTTTCATACTTGTTTTCTCTCTGTGTGAGAGAATTTCTTTAATTACAGCACTCATTAGCTGAACAAGATAAGATCTCTTAGAGAAGTTAATAGAGCAGGAAGAATATAACCTGGAACATTTTTCTTTCTACAGAATATGTGTATATTGGGTAGGGTAACTTTCAAATAAGTGTGATGTCCTTATCTTTTCTTTACTTTTGACAGCATGAGGAAGGTTTTAGAGGTTTGGAAAAGTATTCATTTGAAGCAGTGCCAAGAAATCCTGCTGCACTGACTGAGATGCTTCAGATGTGGCAGACACCCATCTAGCTCCACCCCTATGCAACTTCTCTCTGCAGATTTGCCTTGATTGCAGTCCAGAGTAAATACCAAAGATCTATACCCAAAGTGTCTTCAATGTAAAGACTTGGTGCATAGATAATGTCCTAAAATCTTAATTTAGAAGATAATTTGGGTGCTTGAAGTCACTACTGATGATAGGAAGAAACAGACAAAAGACATAGACCAGAGTGCTTCCTAAAGTGTCCCACTGTATATGTTTTGTAGCTATGCCACAAGAGGTGTCCAAGCTGAACCTGGGGAAGAAGATCAGCATCCCCAGAGATGTGATGCTAGAAGAGCTTTCTCTCCTCACCAACAAAGGATCCAAGATGTTCAAATTACGTCAGCTAAGAGTGGAGAAGTTCATTTATGAGAATAACCCTGATGCCTTCACTGACAATTCTGTGGTAAGTTGAAGATTAAGACTAAAATGCTACTCCATACACTCATGGAAAACAGGAATGGAGTGTGCCCAAGCTCTCTTCTGTTTTAATGTGTGTGGGCAGGGGGTAGGGAGAGTCTACTAGCAAAGCAGTGAAAGAAGAAAACAAAATTACATAAATACACAAGTTTTATTTCCTTTTGGCAGCAGCATTAGTCTCCTCTGGCAAATATTTGGTATCACACATACAGAAGCATGACAAAATTCAGTACTGAGTGATGAAGGAAGGCTGCATGTTTGGCAAGTGTTCAGAACTCAGGGCAGGGCTAATTGGTTTTGTACCCATTCCATTTCTTCTTTGCATGATGGCAATGATCCATCCAACTCCAGTAGACCAGTGCTATTTTTAGTCTAGGATACTTTTATGCTTTCTGCTGGACAGAGTCCTCTGCTAGTATCTGCAAGTTCCACAAGTGAAACCTCTAACCTGACTCTGAAATATTTTCAGTTAATTTGCTAGAAGCCCAGTTTGTTTTCCCCTAAAACATTTTCCTTTCAGATATGGTATATAAATACAGACATTCATTTTCTTTTCCCTTTCCCTTGCATTGGTACTGTTATAACTCCTTTCTACAGCTAGTTGCAGGTGTAAAGTCTTTTGAAGACCCCTAAACTTTTACAAATGAAACTCTCTGTTCACATGATTATCAGAATTCAGTAAAACAAATAGAAAATGTTTAAGGATCAAATGCATTTTGATATACCACCTCATCTTCTGATGTTCTTTAAAGTTGGTTTGGTGACATTTTATCCCTTTATGGCATCTATCTTCCAGTCCAAGGAAACTCAAGGAAAACAACAAAAGTTAGGCTGAAGAAAATGTTTTGCCAAACAAAAACACACTATCTTTTAGCATTCTGATGTTTTCAATAACAGCAATAAGAAAATATCTGCAGTTCACTTCTAGAAATGCCAACATAAAAATCAGAATGTGGAAAGATGCCTAACAAAAAAAAAAAAAAAAAAAAAAAAAATTAAACAGTAAGATTACAGATAAGGGATGACAGACCAGAGATATAACAAGCATATCCCGTAATGTTAAACTTTGGTCGGTTTCTTCACCTCTTTGTGCTTTAGGTAGTTCTTTTCTTCAGTGAATTATCTCCCAGAAAGAATGTGAGAATGAATGGTATATTGAACTTTGGACTCCACAGATGAATATCCTAGAGAAATGCATGCTGTTTTCATAAGTACTCAGCAATCTCAGAGTTCCTAAAACATACGAGGGCCAAGTTCATATGTGAGAATCTGCTGCAGTGAGAAGTGAGAAAATGACAAATTGATGAAATATAAGGCTAGAGTCCAAAGTGACAAAAATTTGAGGGTGTCACTAAAGAATGCTCAATCAGAACAATCCAAAACAAAGAAGTTGTGACAAACTGACTCAAGACTGGACATGCACAGTCACTTCATGACTAACATTATAAATGCTGATGACAATTGCTTATCTTTTGTTAGCAGCTTTTTCCTACTTTGTTTATTAATCTGTGCCTGACTTTCACTCCATACCCCTTCTGTAGTGGATCTCTCTCTTTTGTGAGCACACATCTGCTCCCAGGATCTTTCAGCATGGCTGTTTAGATCCTATGCCATGGGGAAATGTAGTTGGGGGTTAGAAAATCCTTTAAAAAGCTAGGATTTTCTTTGTTGCTTTGCTGTAGGAGAACCATGTCATGGTCTCCAAACCAGGTGGCATTCTGCTTAAAATCCTTCATGATTAGCTTACAGGCCTTCTCTCCACATCCATGGAGAGACAACAGGTAGCAAAACTGTAACGGTCAGTGCAGGAAGACTTTGGTCTGCCTACAGCCCTCGCCTGGGGTCAGTTTAGCAAGATCAAAACATAATTAATTGTTACTGGTTTTTGGCTGCTCCAGGAGCTCGCTGCTTGCACCCACTGCCTTTGCAGGTAACTGTTCTCATCACTGCTTTGCTGCAGTCAGACCATTAAGGAAAACGGAGCAATCACAGCAACTGAGCCATTGTCTCGGAGAGCTGGGTGCTCTTGAGCAGGTAAAGGCAACAGATCTGCTCTGTTATCTTCCAAACCATCAGGACAGCGCCTGACCTTAGCACCAAATAACTCTCATCAAAAGCCCTTTTGACTGCAGTGCCTTTGAATAGCTTTCTTTTCCTTTCTTGCTGCTCTATCTGCTCAAGGGCAGATGCAGAAAAGAAAGCTCAAGCAAAAGATAACTGTGTGAGGAAGACAATGGCAGAGTAAGAAGTCCTACTGCTACACCCAGTTACTTCCCTCTCCCAATTAACTTCCATGTCCTTTGTGCCCCATTCCAAAGAAGTTCTTGTGTTTTTAAGGCTGTGGGACAGTGAAGGAATTTGAAGCTGGTGATGTGTTTTCTGCTTGTATATCATAGATTTCCTAACTGTCTTGTCTTAAAATATTCTCAGGACACGCTTAAGAAAGCAGGGCAAGGCAGGTCTGGGATGGAGTATGGACTGTTTCTTTCCCCCAGAAGAAGTTTACTAGCACGATAATGTAATATAAAAACACACAAAGAGAAAGGTTATTAAAAATAAATCCAAACCATATAAGGGGTTCCAGAATAGCCTGTGCTGTAGCCATAAACCTTCCACACAAGGGAGAAGATCTCAGCAGTCATGTGTCATTGACCCACCCTTCTGCTTCTCTCCTCCTTCTTTTCCTCCAGCCAAAAATCCACACTGGACAATCAGATCACTCTCCTTACTTGTAGCAGAGGAAACACATATACTGTGTGCACATGAAGGTCAGACAGCCCCATGTAAAAGTGAAAACCTGTCACTCTCTGTAACTGCTGCACCTCTACCCATCCAGTTAAAGGCAAATGTGGATAAACCCCCAGTCAAAAGGACTGACCATTCCTAACATGAGTAAAATGAAATGCACCACATCCTGTAGAGCTGTTCTCAATACTGTGACTCTCTTTGCTTGCAAATATACAGTACAAAGGGAAGGTTTTAGGGAGGGGTGAGTTTGACACCAATATCCTGCCAAACAGGGAGAATTTGGGCAACATCCTCCTTGTTTTGTGCTGTGCTGGAGAAGCTGGGCTCTTCTGAGCCCTCTCTAGTAAACCAGATGTAGGATTTCTTCTCCTCATCCCAGGCTGTGCCACCCACAGGAACTGTGATTCTCTCCATGTCTCAGAGGATATTTTCAACTTCATTGTGGAGTTGCAAGATATAATTTATTACTGACTAAAGACCACAATGAAATCCTATCTTGCTGTGTGCTCTATTACTGTATCCTCTGGCCGACTAGAGAATGAGGAAAATCACTACATTTGTTTTTTAACAGTGAAACTGAAACATGGGGTAGATTAATGAGTCACCCAAAACCAAAGATAGGGTCTCAGTCTTGTCTTTGGATCTCCTAAATCCCACTTCACCGTTCAGCAGTCAATAAATCAGCAGTTCACAGACTGCTTTCCTGCATAATGCTGAATTTGTTTGGCCTCAAATACATGTAAGATCACGTAAAACAACATTTCTTAGCCCTGCAGCCGCACTCATTATTGCCCTAACTCCTTTCAGCATCCCACCTCTGCTTTTGAACCTCAGTGTAAGAGCTTGCTGTCATCAAGTGGAAACTTTTTAACACCTGACTGGCAGGCATTAATGGGAAACTGAAAACAAAGCCATAGTTATGTGTCTTGGATGTTGCCATTACTCTGTCTCTCTTCCAGTAAGAATCCTTAAATATGGTCCTTCTGCTAGTCAAAACCTGTGGCTTGATTTGGGTTACATGTAGGAGACTTTCCTTTTTCTCCTCTCCTTTTTATGTTTTATTATCAGATCTTAAAACAATTAGGAAGGTAAAATAACCAATATCTAAATAGACAATTATGAGCAGTAGTACCTCAAAAACCACACCAACCCACAACCAAAATCCCCACCTTGGTGCTTTCTTACCCTCATCCACAAGTTAAAATAAATGCAGCTTCCAGTCATGGCAAAGCTTGTATGAAAACAAACTAAAATGTGTTGGCAATTTCTGCTGGACTTCAGGTCAAGAGGTCTCTTTTAAGCTGATACCAACTGTGAAACAAAATCTAAGAAATCTAAAGAATTGGATTACTGCTGTTCTGGAAAATGGCAGGAATTAGTATGCTTTTCAGTGCTGGACAAGAACTCAGAGCAGGCAGAAGTAGCAGGAAGAAAATGGAAGTGGCTATGTTACAAACCAAAAGTGATGCTTCAGAGCAGACAGCAGTACACCACCAACCTGCCTCAGAGATCTTACATGATGAATAGCCAGGCATGATACAGTGTCTGAAGGAAAACAATGATGGAGAAATGTCATCATGCAGCTGCTTGGTTTATTACAGAGCATGCAGTGCTGGCTCTGTATGCCCCTTAATGTACTTGGATGAATGTCAGTCAAGATCAGTGGAGGTAAGGTTAAAGGGGAAATGTTAGGAATAATTTTTCTAGGAGTTCTGTTCTTCCTAGAATGTTAAACCTCTTGAACAAACATTACAGGATAATTGCAGGCTAAGATACAATTCTCAGCTTACGACCTAAGTTGACTGAGCCAGGTGAGATTGTGACTTCTTTAACAAAATGAGCCTTGCTGCACTGGAGCTGGATTGGTGCAGAAGACCTAGAGGTCCCACTATACCCAAAGCTGTGGAAGAGTGAACGTGGAGTCTGATGCATTCTTATTCAAGAAGTGACTGGAGTGGAAAAAGCAGAGTAACAGAAAAAAAGAGTCTTTTATTTTCCACAGTGCTCCAATTTGTTGCAGCAGTGTGAGAAAACTCTGGACCAAAATTCTGAAACACAATTTCTTTCATCCACAAAGAAAATGTGACAAAAATGATATAAAATATACAAATAAAATATGTCTAATTTTGGGTAGCATTAGATAAAAATTCCTGTTATTTAGATGTGTAAATTCAGGCACAGAAGCAAAAAATATTTTGTCTAAGATTACACAGCAAGTCAGAAATGGACCTGGAAATAGAAAGCAGGAGCTCAATCTACTGTGCCTCTCTGGGTAGCAAGTTTGAAAAAAAATGTAAGATGCTTCTACAGCTTCTTATTTTCACCCTTTTTAAAGAAATGAGTCATAGGTTTAAGGCTATGCAATTCCAAATGAAGGACTGAGGCCCACGCTTTGATAAAAACAGCAGGCAGTCTATGAGACTCTCCAAGTGTCTGAATTTTAAATCTTCCATCCCACCATTAAGGAGCATTTGAGTGGCTGCCACGGAGACGATGCAGTCCAGTAACTTCAGAAGTGTTAGTAACTACATAGGCATCAAACATTTGGGGAGCTCTTTAGCAGTGAGGTGGAAATAGAAACACATTTGGTGGCCTCAATCATTTTCTTTAGGGCACAGCAAGGAGCTGAAGGGGAGCACATGGTGTCTCTCCTGGGGACTGCCCGCATGACGTCAGGGCCTTGAGATACACAGAGATCTCAGCTCCATTAGTTGGATCATCTTTCATTATCTAGTTTTTATTAGGCACATGCTCTAGAGAATTCAGAATTTGTCCATCTAAGCACTCAGCCTGCAAGAGCAGGCGCTTGCTAGCACTAAGGACTTGAAAGACATGAGCCCAATTTGTTTAGCCAACCCAGGGGGCCCATCACATGAACTTGCAACAAGTGCTCTCCTATTAGAGTGGATTTAGGGACGCCCTGGGACTGATAATATCCACTACCTCCACCAATGCACAGACAGGAGGAGCCGTGTGATCTGTCCCCAGACCCAACAGGAGGTTGTCAGCCATCTCAACTGACATTCCTGGACTTCTCTCCTGGAACTCCCACCAACACAGTCAATCAATACTAGCAGAGAGGCTGGTTTTATGATGTGAATATGCATATATGTAAATGTTCCACATGCTGTTAGCAATGGCCCAAGACATGCATTCTCCTCAAGTGTGAGCTCCAAAACTCTAAAATTTCACTCTAAAACTCTGACCAGAGGTGTGCTCTCTGTATTGGAGACAAAGCTGTACCTATGCAGCTTTGACTATGTTGAGACTCTTGATTGAGGCTGTCTTTCCTGAGCTCTACTGTCTTGGAAAATCTTTCAAAAAGATTATTTTCTCTTTGATTCATGTTAATTTGAGCTAGGAAAAACAATTGTGGTGACCAAAACTGAAGTAAATTATATTTTTGTTTTAGCAGGTGAGTAAACTGGGGTGTTACATGGAAAATATCTTTCCTATCTGAATGGAGTTGCCTGCTTTTAGCAGATCAGATGTTTTCTCAGCAGGCCCATGAAGAATAGCTTAAGGCAAATCAAACTAATTTAATTTGCAGCTAAATAAGATTTAGGAATGGCTTTCCTGATACAGACCTTCTGTTCCAGAGAAACTTCATTCCTACTTAGTGATAATACTGCCATTTAAAATAACACCAGATGACAATGATGCCCCTCCCTAGTCACATCAAATACTGCTGTGAGCAGAAACACAAGTCCATTTTACTGCAGCTCATGTTATGCTGATGCTTTGGGACTTTTTTTCTCTTGCAGGAGAGGCATGTAAGTAACTACAGGAAAGGAGAAATAAGCCCATAATTCTCAGAAAGGGCACACAGCATGGGTGAAACTAGAAGGAAAACAGATGCAAATTTAGTTTTGAAGGTAGTGAGCAAACCAGTAGAAGCATTACCCTAGCATATATATTAACATTTTGAAAATAACCTCATTCTGACCCCTAACCCTCAAAATACCCCTTTTCAGTTTGCCTTTTTACAGCTACATAGCTGCCACGCATAATGGAGCAGATTGCCCAGTTAGCTCCTGTGCAGAGCTTAATGCTCGCAATCCTCTCCCCTCTCAGTGCTTCCTGACATTCACGGGAACATTATCTCCTGTGTTCCTAAAAAGGGAATTCCCTGCAGCTAGGAGAAGGACAGACAGTCCCTAAAGGCCCTGGGGGAACCAACTCTGCCACTTCAGCCTGCAGCTGGCTGCCTGCCTGGGTTGCAGCCTGGTGACCTGCTGTGAAACCCTGGACACTGTTGTGGGAGACACAGGGAGCAGAGGGTTAGCTAATTCTGCCTTGAGCCTTGTGGGGTTTTCACTTCTCGACTATTTTTAGCTGACTGAACAGCTGGCCTTGGAAGCCTGTTTACAGCCTGGAAAGCTTCTTTTTGCTAAACTGTGCTAGGTGTAAGAGCCCTGAGAAAGCCTAAACCCTTTGAGAGCCATCTCTGAGGCTGCCTGAGATTAATTTATACAGGTAGAATAGCAGTATGAGGAACCACAGATTCATCCAGTGTCATGAATATGTATTTGTTGCATCTTTGTGCATCTAATATCCAATCTCCTAGTCCAACAGGAAAGACTATATGTGATATATAACCCAGGTTACTTGCATTATATAGCTGTGTGGGCTGTACTGCACAAGAGATACTTTTAAAGTCTGATAGGAGTCTAGTTTTGATGTCACTCATGACCAATATGTGAAACATTTTTCTAAACATACTATATCAGTTTCTATTCCACACAAGCATTTATGAAAGTTTCTGTGTGCAAAGACAGGATATTGTGCCAAAATGTACACCACAAGGTCAATAAATCCTGCATGGATTGTTTGCTCTTTTACTACATACTGCAGAGATTGTGCCTTCTAGCCTGACTAAGGAAGAGTGAATGGTCTGCAAAATAAGACCAACCTAATTTTATTGATGGATACAACTTTCTTTCTTTCTTAGCCTGTTGCTGGTTAGATTTGGTTTGCTAATTCACATACTGCTACAAACAAAATTCTTCCTTTTTGTCATTTCCCTCTTGTGTTCTCCAGAAAGTATTTTCTGTTTTCCTAGGCTGCTCTTTCTTCAGTTTTTCTCGACATGTAAATACTCCTCCTCAAGCAGACCTTCATATAGACCTTCAATGGTATTATATATATGGGAAACAGGCAAAAGGGCAGATATCTTCCTGACTTTTGTGTTGTCACAGAGACCCTGCTGTTCTGGTGACCTGTAACACTTAATTCCCACACTGTAATTGAGCTGGGGTTATGTTAACTTTGACAGGAAAACACTTTCTTGCCAGGCTTGCTTTCCCACAGGTTAGCCAACGTTATCTCTGTTTGGACTTCTACCTGCTCTGGCAAAAGCTAAATTTCCTTTCACCTCCTCCTCTATTTCACAGTCATCACTGGTGGGGACAACACCACCCTGATCACATAAAATGACTATGAGGCGAGTGTGCTTCCATTGCCACTTCTGCTGTTCCTCAGCTGCTGCGATTCTGAATAAAGGGAATAACTCGCATGAAGTTCTGCCACTGGCTTTGTAACAGAGACACAGAACTGGTCAGATCACAGAGACTCAGGAGTTCACATTCTGAGACCCAGCCCTACAAACACAAATACACCATGTCCTGTAGCAGAGATTCAAGCACGCTCTTTTCTCCTCCCCTAGGATCACTTCCAGAAGTTCATCCCGCCAGGAGGGAGCTATGGGGAGGATGCTCACGGCTATGCCCACGGGCGGATGGTGGGAGGATCGGCAGCCGGGCAGCACGGCTCCAGCACGCAGCAGCAGCCCGGGGGCCCTCCCAGGCCTGCAAGCAGAGCAGGCGCCAGAGATGGTGAAGGGGAGCATGCCGGGAAGTCCTCTGGAAGTGCTGGAGAAGGAGGCGATGGTACTGACAAAGGCAAGTATCTCTCTGCAAAAATAAGAAACTAAAGCTATCAGACCAGATGCCAAGCCTACTCTTAAGGAAAAGCAAATTAATCTAACTCCTGGATTCTTCCAAACAAAGCTCCAGTGTAAAGTCTAGAAGAGTTGAACTGCTTTTAGGTTGATGGTTTTGTTTGTATTCTTCTGTGTTGCTCAACCACAGGCAGGAGGTAGAAATACCTTGCTTGGCTGGACCACAGAAATTACAGGAAACTTATCTGCTGAGCTCCTAAGGCTGGTAGAGCAGTAGGCCAGTACAGCTATGCCATGTCAGTGTAGCACCACCTTTCAAGGCTTTCACACTGAGCACTGCTGGAGACACTGGTATTAACTCTTTAGATCAGTAGTCTGATCTGAGTATCAGACTTGAATATCTGAGCCCTGATTTCAAATCAAAGCTTCTACCTAAAAAAAAGAACACTTTTTTGATAATCTTCAGAAAGGAGCAGCAATATTTCTAAAAGTTATCTGGTAACCACCACTGGGCCACTGAGGCAATATCTTTATGAGTAAAAATAGTTTTAATTCAATTTAGTCTTTGCCTGATTTTATCCTCTGTTTAGTTTGGCCAGAAATCTCTAGAAACAAATACCTAGTATGAGAGTCAGCAGATGTAATCATCACTTTAACAGTCCCTATAGATTAAAAAAAAAAAAAAAAAAATCAAATTTGCTCGGGAACCAGGAATAACTGCCTTGAGTAACCAATGGATTTGTAATTGTAAAATCTTGTAAAATGCAAGTATTTTCATTTACATTCTGGAATAATGTGCATTTTATATCAAAATCAGCTTTTACATTTCCTGTGAAAAAGCAATCTGTAGAGACTCTTATAGTTTTCTTACAGGAGACTTTTCTTCATTGTTATCGTGTGTGCAGGGAGAAGGAGGATTAATATCATCCTATAGCTTTCACTGCAGAGACAGATCCCAGCTGCTTTTGTTTCAACTCTAGCAATCAATTTGCTGGTAAACTGCTTAGTTTAAATACTTCACACAAAAAAGAGGGGAGTAGTTGTTTTCTAGGGCTTTTTTTAAATTAAAAAAAGATTCTTGTAAATGTCTGCAATTCTTTGAAAGCAGGGAACCCCAGGACTTGGCATGGTTTGCAATAAGCAAGACAGACAAAGGAGATAAAGAAGAAAGATTCAGATAATAATGTTCATTCTTTGCCACTTACTTCATAAGGATTTGTTTTCTACACAAAATGTAGCACCAAGAAAGCACCAGAATGTCTCTCTCCACTAATCTCTTATTCTCATCTGCCCTAATCAAGCTAAGCAGATATCATTGCTCAGGGGTTTTAAGGTTTATGAAGGATGAAAATATTATAAGTGTGCTACATATCAATACAAAACTTATGTTCTTACTAGCGAGGTGGTATTATACACAGCTAGGGAAGGGAAGGGGAGGAGAGGGAAGGGAAAGGCAGAATGAAATCCCTTGTCTAAACTCATTTGCTTAATGGAGCAGCTAGAAGCTAATCTAAAATTTCTAGCAATCAAGTGTCTGAGTTTACAACAAAGTGCAGCTTTAGTCACTGATAGGATTTTAACTTCAAGCGAGATACCACATAATATTTGCAAACTGCTTTTAGCCATCCTGAGGTGATTGAGACAGACTTATCTCTAACATCCCAGTTCAGAAGGGGAAAAATGTGAATATCTGTTCATGTAATCACAAAGAAAATGCCAGGTCATGTCTGCTATGATCTGACAGCAAAAAGAAGAATGAAAAATTCCAAATACATGCTTTAATGCAAATTCCTGGATGAGTGGCTCTTAGACTGTGGTACTATCTGCTTTTGTGGATAAGAACAGAAGTGATGTACGATCATCTTTGCAAAACAGAAATCTAACCATAAAAGCTTGTATTGATGTAGAAGTTACAGAATATGGAAACAAAGCTGGTGCTTCAACTTCAGCAGCAGGACATAGTAGCACAATGCAGTTAAGAGTGCCATCTAACTAGACTGCTTTACCTTCCTCTGTTTACAGATGGGAAGTCAGGAGGCAAAAAAGTTACTATATTTAAAACTTATATTTCCCCTTGGGAACGAGCGATGGGTATCAGCCCTGAGGACAAAAGCCAGTTCTCCACGGACTTACTGTCATACAGCCCCAAAGCTGATTTCCCCCACTACAAGTCTTTTAACCGGTAAGTCCTCTTAGATATTCAATGCAGTTTATTTAGCAAGAGAAAACACAATAATGCTGATCATAGCCCTCCTGTAAATAAGTTTTAGCTGCACTTCATTTTGCTTAGAACAGTCTCCAGTGGATGAAATGTTTGGAAGACTACAAAGACAAAATACATTATGACCTAGAGATTTTAATTCAGATTATGCACAGAAAACCAATGCAGTTGGATAAGAGGACTTTAATCTTATTTGCCTCTCTTTCTCTCCCCATTTGACCAGGAGATGTAACTTGCCACTGTTTTTTACTGAAACCCTTCGAAGTTCAAGAGGTCATGAAAAATACTTATGATCAGCAGCCATAGATTTCACAGCACTTCATATACAAATCAGGCTGTTTCTGCTGTTTATGATAAGCATTGAAAGTTTTACAAATATTTCTAGGACAGCAACAATTTTGCCACCCACCTCCACAGCCTCAGGTCATCAGTACCAAGAACAAACCCACATCCTGTTCATTTCTGCAATAATGCAGCCTCTGCCTGCTACATGTACAGAAAACTAACAGGTGTGAAAGGTGTATGGTTTGATGGAGATTGGTGCAACAAGGGTGAAGGAAGTGCACAGCAGCATATGTATGTGTTTACATAACTTTTAGTACATGGGCAATGGGTACATCTATGTTCTCATGAAGGATTTGTTGGCCAACTGCAAGAGTAGCACAATTTAGAATCTTGATAACTTTGACTATTTATTTTATAAATCCTGTTGTTTACCTGTGCTCTGTTTGCTAACTCCATGTATTCCCCTATGCCAGGACTGCCATGCCTTATGGGGGTTTTGAAAAAGCAGCCAAACGGATGACCTTCAAAGTGCCTCAGTTTGATATCTGCCCTTTGCTCCCAGAATCTCTCATGATATATAATCAAAATTTCAGCAAAAGACCCTCCTTCAACAGAACCCCAATACCTTGGATGCCTTCAGGAGACTTCTCAGAGTACCAGACTACGGTCAATGTGCCAATGAGTGGTGAAACAGAAGAGTTGTAAATCCCCACTGCCAAGACCTTCCCCTTTTTTTCTCAGCCCTTTCTATATGCAAGTTGATAGTAAGGAGGAAAAGTGCAACTCTTGCTCTGTCAGCTCTTTCTTTCTTTTACCTGTAGCCAAGACAAGTCCCAAGCAGGTTCTAAACTTCTCTTCACTGTACTGCTAATCTAAATCAGACACAGTTTGAGGAAAAGGAGCTTTTTATTCACCAGCACATAAGAGGCCAAGACTAAGGAAGTGTTTTTGTGTTTAGCAATGCTGCATGCTGCCTGTCTGATTGATAATAAACCTGTTTTGTCATGTGTTAACAAAAAATAAAACACCAAGATGAAAAACAGCTTTTGTGTTTTCTCTTTAAAAAGTGCTACTGAAAGAATTTGGCGATTAGCAAATTGAAACAAAAGTTTCAATCTCACAATGAGACTATTATCCTGGGAGGAAAGATCAAGGACTTACAGGGATGGTCATAGATTTATATACATCCAGGTAGCTTGGAAAAATACTGCCAGAGTGATGGGGAAGGATGATGACTTTGAGAGGAAATTAGAACAACATCAGAAATGAAATAGCAAGTCAGCCTGTCAGCAAAACAAACAGCTTAAAGTATTTCACTGCCAGCTAAGATCCCCCAGTTGTCCAGAGTATAAACAAAGTGACAGCTTAAGCAGTTTTTTGGTTCTTTTTTTTCTCTTCTTTTTTTTACAGTGAACATAAAGTTAATAGGTTGGGAAGCAACAGAGGCACACCCAAGTAAGATGGCTAACCCATAGTGACAGAGCAAGAAAACAAATGCTTTAATAACAACAGAGCTAATTTCACACCTACCACAGTGCATTACTTATTCAAATACACACCATGAAAGTCTATTCCATTTCTTGCAGCAGTTTCAGCAATGCCACACAAATAGGAAGAAAGGCAGGCACTGTGGAAAACCACTACAGAATTCCTGCTTGGAGACTGGTTTGGAATTCTGTTCTGGTACCTCAACATTTCCTCCTGTAAGCAGGGCTGAACAGTTTATTCTTGGGGACAGCTTCCAGTGAAGTACTTTTAATTTAGGAGCTTTTCCTCCTTGTCTAGGAATTCCTGCAACCATGTATTTGATTTTTATTCTCTTGGGATAGTTATGTGGTTGTCTTTATTACATGCCTCTATAAAGCTACTGCCAGGGCTACTGTGAGATGTCTTTAAAATTATGCTAATAATAAGCATTGCTAAATGGTCTTTAGCAATGGCTAAAGAACATTTATTATATATCCTATTATATTATTAAGAGGTATCCATAACTCAGTTCTGTGACTAAACTTAAAAATATTTAGGTGCTACTTTGGTCTGGAGAACATTTCAACAAAAATGAAAAAGCTCTGTTTGAGCACTGGTTGGAGATAAGGTTGCTGTTTTCCAATATTTCAAATCAATCTAGCTTTTCAATTGCATTGTAATTAAGGAGGATGAATTTCTTTTTCAGTTCAAAAGTACTTTAATACAAGAACTCAGTCCGCAATGACAAAGCTAGGAATTCAGAAAGTCAGAGGAAATTTCAGAGAAAAAAAGGTGACATTAAGCAAAATATTGCCTCCCCTTTTCTTACACAGATTTTATCCTACTGCAATATAGAATTACGTTTTCTTTTGGGGTTTTTTTTGGTTTTTTTCTTTTGGTTTTTTTTTTTAAGTGGAATACATTATGCTTTCCTGGTAAATACGTCAGGAATAGCAGAAACAAGATAGGTAGCCACGTGTCACAATCTATTTTCAGCAGCAGGTATTCCAGGTCATGGGCCAGTTAAGGAATGCCAAGGTGCAGAGAGGACTGGCTGCTCTGAGAAGGGGTTGCCCCAGACAATCACAGCACAGGTCTCAGGTCCACCCAGGACTCAAGAGTGCAGGCCAGCACCTGAACAACATCACTCACACAAAGGACCCCAGGAGTGGGTCTGAGCTTAAAAGAGATTTCTGGGCCATAAGTGGGGTGAAGGTCCCAGATGAGGTTAGGTCAAGGAAGGGCTGCACACAAGGTGCACACAGGACAACAAAAGCAAAATGTTTGGGAATTTCAGTAGAATCACAACAACCACTTGAGTTCTACTGTATCACAGGAAAAAAGACTGAATAAAATAGGTCCTTAAACACACAGAGACAGGTAAGGAAGACATGCAGAAATAGCACAGTGCTCTCTGGTGGTGTAGTCTCAAAGCTCCCAGGTACGAGGAAAGCAGCATGATCCTGCAGGTAGCTAAAGGGCTGGGCATGTACCCAAAGCTCTGTCTGGTTCACAATATACAGTTGGATAAGGGGTTTTGTCAACACACTCCATTAACACAAACCCTAAATGGAGACAGGCATTGCAATGTCCTTGGAATTAGTACTGCATCACTGAAATGTATTAACAATATTCCTATGATTCATACTTGTAAGCTGTTTCATCAGTTTTGGTACATTTGCTTAATAAGGCACATAGCTCTTCTTCTGAAGTGCACTTGCAATCTCAAATCCTGTCAAGCAGGATTTATGTGCTTTTGTTTCTAGTACAAAATGAGAAATACAACACTACATGTTGTAGAACAGTTCAGACAACTATTGTCTTGTTGTTTACACAGCCTAAATTACATGCTAGTTTAGTCATCATGCAAAGTAACATTACAAGTGAGAGAAAAACCAGTAATTCAGATTCTGTTTCAAAAATAATTACTTTGAGTAAGGCTTTCAGCTACTGTTAATCAGGGTAGAACTTTGTCCATAATGATCAAATATTTAAAAGGAAGTAAGAAACAGCCTCCTGTTCTTTGTTTTCCTTGGGCTCTGATGTAGACTCAGAGCAATTGTCTATGTCAGAGAATTGTTTATATTGGGAATTAGAGGATTTTATTAGATTTAATTACAGTGGATTTTCTTTCACATAGTAGAAGCTACAGAACAAAAAGTCAACTGCTTTTAAGCAGCATCATCATAGTTATAGATAAAAAAGAACAAATTATTGAGTTCATCTTCTTGAAAAGGCTACAGTTCCCTTACATAGGATATACTGGATATTAAGCTTATGGAACAACAGCTGAAAATGCATTTAATAGGGAGGGGCTCACCCTTGAAAAATGGATTGCAGAGAATTTTATGACATTCAGATCTTTCATTCAAAACAAAATGCTCTCACATTTTTAGTTATTTACACTGTCATTTCTAATAATATTATTTTACAGTTTTCAAGTTTTGAAATGTTTCTCTCATGAAGACAAATTCTATCATAAAGAATCCAAGCTATGTTAAAAATGCATTAAAAAATAGTGGCCACATTTTAAAAAAGCATTTAAAAAAATCTCAATCATATTATCCAGAAATATGGCCTCAGATATTTTAAAACTTTGCCTGAAGTTATAGCTGATTGCATAAATATTCGACAGGCAGTAGCACAGTTAACATGATTTTCTGTGTTGTGCAGAAAAGTTTCCATTTGACTGCAATGTATTCCCTAATCAAAGGGAACAGTTTGACAGATCATTGACAGATCACTTAGAAAAGATGGCTTTGGCATCAGACTTACTCTCTCTGAAATAAGATCTGGGAGAGTTTCAGGCTGTTAAAAGAATATGTGCTTTGCCTTTTTGACTTTTTTTTTTAAATCATACTGTGAATATATAAAATGTATTCATTTTTCTTACTACAACATGGCAGGCACCAGACAGCCTATGGTATTTCTGTTATGGAGCAGAGTATTTCCCTCCATGGGAAGTACAGTTTTGTGGTACAAGGCTTGAACATTCACTGCACTGAGGTTTTTTTCCCCTTAACTAGCTTGTCTGCAAGTATGTGTTCTCTTCCACAGAAGGCTGCTACAGGTGTGATCATCTGGAAAACATCCTCCTTCCAAGGGACTGCCCCCTGGCACAGCAATGCTGCCGACATCGCTCTGGGAATTTACAGGGGCCACTGCTGCACACGCAAGAGTCTCTCTAGATTCAGTGTCACAAGTTTTCAAGCCATCCTACTGGCTCAGAGCACATTGAGACATTTACATGCAATCTCATCTATGGCCAAATTGCAGGTTATAAACTAATTTAGACAAGTTGCCTATTCTGTCTTGCAGATGTGCCTGACCGGGGCCACAGATAACCAAGAAGAACTTGCAGGCAGACACAGGAGCAAGATTACACAGATTTGATGGAACTCTAAAAGTTTTGTGAATTGAGAGTATGTGGAATTTGAAACATTCTTAATTAAAATAATTATAATAATATATCTACCAGTAAAAGTCTCTTCAGCTAATGTAATTAAGTAGCAGTGCCTTTATGTTCTTTCTCTCTAAGTATTTAGCACACAGTAGGTGTTATCTCTCTGATGATCATCTTCTGCTTGCAGTACAACCTACATGAAGCTTTAAGGAGTGCAAGTACTTGCTCAGATATATTTTGTGTTAATTAAGACACGCAGTAAAGGGAAGAGAACTACATAAACAACCCTGAAGCAGTGCTTTTAAAATGCAATCTAAACTTCAGTCAGCTTAATAAACAAATTCTCAAATATAAACTATTACTTTGATTTTCAATTATACTTTTTAGAAACATTATTTACATCAAAACTTTTAATGCATATTGTCCAACTATTTTTAAGAAAACCTGCAGGGTTCTTTTTTGTGTGTTTATTTTGATCTTTTGATGAACAATAAAAGAAACACAAAATGTTTTGTACAAAGAGTTTTAATTCTAAAAGTTTGTTTTTAATTTAAACAAAACATCATCTGAAATACTGTCAGAGAGAACTGATACAAATAAATTTGCAGACTACCCTTTAAAAAAATTGGAGCAGAAGAAGTTAGGTATAGCTCAAGCCAGAATGAAAACAAACATTTGCCTTTCAAAAATCCAGTGAACAAATAAATGCACAAGATGAGATTAATTTATGGTAATAAGTTCTTCAGGTGCCAAATCAAAATAGTTATTCCTCTTGGTTCTTGTAACAGGGCTTACTGGGAACAAGTATTTTCTAGACATTCAGACAGAGACAGTG